ATTAAACAAAAAAGTTTTAGTCGATAGGATAACAGAAATGTTTTTCCTCTCATATAAAGTAGACGACCAGAGCATTAAAGGAGGAATTAGTAAGTGCTTCAAACACTGGAAATTTGATAAAATTCTATGATGAACAGAGTACCGAAGACGAGACATCATACTACGTAAAATTCTAAAGTAACAGAGAAGAGTATAGGAAGTATTGAGAAACTGGAGAAGTTCTTTATCATTAACAATAACCAGCACGAGTTGAGTAAATCCTGCCTGATAGTTCTACCAGAGTTCTAAGTCTGTGGAATAAAGGACAAGCAGGGGGAGGAAAAGGGATGGGGCGAATATTCCTTGACTGTAAGAAGGCATTCAGTGTCGTATCTAACAAAAGAGTTATCCACAAACTGGAAGAGCAAGCAGGAATAATGGGTGAAGTACCTTGCAGTATCAAGGAAGATCTAAGGAGACAGGGACAAAGTAACGATCTGTAAAGTCGTACTATGATGGACGACTTCGATGAGTGTTCCACAAGGATCCGTTCTGTGACTGATAGTTTCTGTTATACAACCACATGCAAAGGTGTAGTTATGTTTACAAACAATGTAAAGCTGAGGAGGAAAATAAACAGCGTATAGGCAAATGAAGACTAAAACAAGACTTGGAAAGACAATACTGCATCCTCCATAACGGTAACAATACACGCACTAAACACCATCCTCCACAACAGTGACAACGCACTACACACCATCCTCCACAACAGTGACAACGCACTACACACCATCCTCCACAACAGTAACAACACACTACACACCATCCTCCACAACAGTGACAACGCACTACACACCATCCTCCACAACAGTAACAACAAAACTACACACCATCCTCCACAACAGTAACAACGCACTACACACCATCCTCCACAACAGTAACAACACACTACACACCATCCTCCACAACAGTAACAACGCACTACACACCATCCTCCACAACAGTACAACACACTACAACACCATCCTCCACAACAGTAACAACACACTACACACCATCCTCCACAACAGTAACAACACACTACACACCATCCTCCACAACAGTAACAACACACTACACACCATCCTCCACAACAGTAACAACCCCACTACACACCATCCTCCACAACAGTAACAACACATTGCACACCATCCTCCACAAACAGTAACAACACACTACACACCATCCTCCACAACAGTAACAACACACTACACACCATCCTCCACAACAGTAACAACACACTACACACCATCCTCCACAACAAGGACAATACACTACACACCATCCTCCACAACAGTAACAACGCACTACACACCATCCTCCACAAACAGTAACAACACACTACACACCATCCTCCACAACAGTAACAACCACTACACACCAAATCCTCCACAACAGTAACAACACACTACACACCATCCTCCACAACAGTAACAACACACTACACACCATCCTCCAAAATCAGTAACAACACACTACACACCATCCTTAAAAATAGTAACAACACACTACACACCATCCTCCACAACAGTAACAACACACTACACCCCATCCTCCACAACAGTAACAAACACTACACACCATCCTCCACACAACAGTAACAACACACTACACACCATCCTCCACAACAGTAACAATACACTACACACCATCCTCCACAACAATGACAATAACACTACAAAACCATCCTCCACAACAGTAACAATACACTACACACCATCCTCCAAACAGTAACAATACACTACACACCATCCTCCCAAACAATAAACAATACACTACACACCATCCTCCACAACAGTAACAACACACTACACACCATCCTCCAAAACAGTAACAACACACTACACATCATCCTCCACAACAGTAACAACACACTACACACCATCCTCCACAACAGTAATAACACACTACACACCATCCTCCACAACAGTAACAACACACTACACACCATCCTCCACAACAGTAACAACACACTACACACCATCCCCCACAACAGTAACAACACACTACACACCATCCTCCACAACAGTAACAAACACTACACACCATCCTCCACAACAGTAATAACACACTACACACCATCCTCCACAACAGTAACAACACACTACACACCATCCTCCACAACAGTAACAACACACTACACACCATCCTCCACGACAGTGACAACACGCTACACCCCATCCTCCACAACAGTAACAACACACTACACATCATCCTCCACAACAGTAACAACACGCTACACCCCATCCTCCACAACAGTAACAACACACTACACATCATCCTCCACAACAGTAACAACACACTACACATCATCCTCCACAACAGTAACAACACGCATACACCCCATCCTCCACAACAGTAACAACACACTACACATCATCCTCCACAACAGAAAACAACACGCTACACCCCATCCTCCACAACAGTAAACAACACACTACACACCATCCTCCACAACAGTAACAACACACTACACACCATCCTCCACAACAGTAACAACAACAATACACACCATCCTCCACAACAGTAACAACACACTTACACACCATCCTCCACAACAGTAACAACACACTGCACACCATCCTCCAAACAGTGACAACACACTACACCCCATCCTCCACAACAGTAACAACACACTACACCCCATCCTCCACAACAGTAACAACACACTACACACCATCCTCCACAACAGTAACAACACACTACACACCATCCTCCACAACAGTAACAACACACTACACACCATCCTCCACAACAGTAACAAAACACTACACACCATCCTCCACAACAGTGACAACACACTACACCCCATCCTCCACAACAGTAACAACACACTACACACCATCCTCCACAACAGTAACAACACACTACACACCATCCTCCACAACAGTAACAACACACTACACACCATCCTCCACAACAGTACACTACACCCCATCCTCCACAACAGTTACAACACACTACACACCATCCTCCACAACAGTAACAACACACTACACACCATCCTCCACAACAGTAACAACACACTACACACCATCCTCCACAAAGTAACAAAACACTACACACCATCCTCCACAACAGTAACAACACACTACACACCATCCTCCACAACAGTAACAACACACTACACACCATCCTCCACAACAGTTACAACACACTACACACCATCCTCCACAACAGTAACAACGCACTACACACCATCCTCCACAACAGTGACAACACACTACACACCATCCTCCACAACAGTAGCAACACACTACACACCATCCTCCACAACAGTAACAACACACTACACACCATCCTCCACAACAGTAACAACACACTACACACCATCCTCCACGACAGTGACAACACACTACACACCACCCTTTCACAACAGTAACAACACACTACACACCATCCTCCACAACAGTAACAAACATACAACACCATCCTCCACAACAGTAACAACACGCTACACCCCATCCTCACAACAGTAACAACACACTACACACCATCCTCCACAACAGTAACAACACACTACACACCATCCTCCACAACAGTAACAACACACTACACACCATCCTCCACAACAGTAACAACACATACACACCAATCCTCCACAACAGTAACAAAACACTACACACCATCCTCCACAACAGTGACAACACACTACAACCCCATCCTCCACAACAGTAACAACACACTACACACCATCCTCCACAACAGTAACAGCACACTACACACCATCCTCCACAACCCAGTAACAACACACTACACACCATCCTCCGCAACAGTACACTACACCCCATCCTCCACAACAGTAACAACACACTACACACCATCCTCCACAACAGTAACAACACACTACACACCATCCTCCACAACAGTAACAACACACTACACACCATCCTCCACAACAGTAACAAAACACTACACACCATCCTCCACAACCAGTAACAACACACTACACACCATCCTCCACAACAGTAACAACACACTGCACACCATCCTCCACAACAGTAACAACACACTACACACCATCCTCACAACAGAAAACAATCCCACTACACACCATCCTCCACAACAGTTAAAAACAAAACTACACACCATCCTCCACAACAGTAACAACGCACAAACACACATCCTCCACAACAGTGACAACACACTAACACACCATCCTCCACAACAGTAGCAACACACTACACACCATCCTCCACAACAGTAACAACACACTAAAACACCATCCTCCACACAGTAACAACACACTATACACCTCCTCCACGACAGTGACAACACACTACACACCATCCTTCACAACAGTAACAACACACTACACACAATCCTCCACAACAGTAACAGCACACTACACACCATCCTCCACAACAGTAACTACACACTACACATCATCCTCCACAACAGTAACAACACGCAACACCCCATCCTCCACAACAGTAACAACACACTACACCCCATCCTCCACAACAGTAACAACACACTACACACCATCCTCCACAAACAGTAACAACACACTACACATCATCCTCCAAAAACAGTAACAACACGCAACACCCATCCTCCACAACAGTAACAACACACTACACACCATCCTCCACAACAGTAACAACACACTACACACCATCCTCCTCAACAGTGACAAACACACTACACACATCCTCCACAACAGTAACAACGCATTACACACCATCCTCCACAACAGTGACAACACACTAACACCATCCTCCACAACAGTAAACAACACACTACACACCATCCTCCACAAAGTAACAACACACTACACCCCATCCTCACAACAGTAACAACACACTAACACCATCCTCTCAACAGTGACAACACACTACACACCATCCTCCACAACAGTAACAACGCATTACACACCATCCTCCACAACAGTGACAACACACTACACACCATCCTCCACAACAGTAAACAACACACTACACACCATCCTCCACAACAGTAACAACACACTACCCCCATCCTCCACAACAGTAACAACACACTACACCCCATCCTCCACAACATAAACAAACACACTACACACCATCCTCCACAACAGTAACAACACACTACACACCATCCTCCACAACAGTGACAACACACTACACACCATCCTCCACAACAGTAACAACACACTACACACCATCCTCCACAACAGTAACAACGCATTACACACCATCCTCCACAACAGTGACAACACACTACACACCATCCTCCACAACAGTAACAACACATACACTACATACAGCGCCCCTCCACAGTTTAACCGACTCACATATGCCTTTGTGGAATCTGAGGCAGTTGACAGTGTTGGTGTGGCCGGAGAAGGTGGTAATGGGTTCCACGGTGAGAGGTTTCCGGCCAGGGATGGGTTTCTTGGGTACCACGTCCCCGGAGCCTGCCTCCCACACTTTGACAACTCCGGTGCCGTCACCGCTATAGACCAGTTGCTTCATCGCCACCAAGCACACTACGTGACTAGGGTGACCCTGGAACACCTGTAGTCCAACATCACATTAGGTCATCTCGACACTAGCACTTTTTTACAGTCCTTATTCTACAGATGAACGCAGGCACCGTTGTTTTTCCTAGCTGATACCGACACCAGTATCATTGGCCTGTGGCCTGGTGGCAAAAGCTCTCGCTTCACACGGTGAGGGTCTGGTTTCGATTCCCTGAGAGAGTAGAAACACTGAGCGTATTTCCTTCACCCATCAGTAATAATGGGTACCTGGGTGTAAGATGGCTGGTGTGGGTCGCATCCTGGGACAAAACTGACCTAATTTGTCCGAAATGCTCTGCATACCAAGGAGCTTTTTATGTAGTAGTATGTCATTGATGTCAGCTATGCCTGTATACTTTGTACATGTGGTAATAAATACCGACAAGTTGGTTTAGAAAAACACGTAAGCAAACACTAAGACATATTTATTAGAAAACGTTTCGGTCCTGAGATCTTGATCACTTCTCACATACACAGGATGAAAGAGTTTATATTGGCGGAGAGTGAGGTGTGAGTGACGCATGGTAACCTGAAGTTGGGATGAGGACGGGTAGACGATAAGATCATGTGACTCCTGTGTTGCTGGGTAGGTGGTGCTTTGCCTGGTTGAGTATCATGTATGCTAATGTTTTAGAAATTTTGTGGTTTCCAGTGTTACGTTCTACTGTGTCGGCGACGGCGATTAGGGAGGCTTCTAGACACCGTCGGCGTCTAAGGTCTTGTTTGGTAAGAATGAGTTGTGCCTCATCCCAGTTCATCAAATGCACCGTGGAGTCTCTGTGGAGGACACAGGCGTACCTTAAGTCGTCTCTCTTACTGGCATTTCGATGCTTGTTCAGGCGGACCTCAAGATCTCTGCCAGTCTCGCCTACATATTTCTTGTGACAGAAGCCACAGGGGATGGTGTAGACGCCTGCTGTGGAAGTTAGAGGTGTTGGGCTGCGTTTCGTAGTGAGGTCTTGGATAGATGTGTTTATGGTAGACACATTTAAGTTACTCTTAGCAAGTGCCCGGCGAGTATTCGTGGAAACATCACCACATGGGAGCACTGTGAACTGCTTAGAGAGCTGTTCCATGGGCGGTTTGTCTTTCAACCTCTGTATGTTAGAAGTGATCAAGGTCTCAGGACCGAAACTTTTTCTAATGTTTGCTTACGTGTTTTTCTAAACCACCTTGTACATGTACTAGTAGAAACAAAGATATTATTATTATTATTATTATTATTATTATTATTATTATTATTATTATTATTATTATTATTATACTGATCTTAGATGATATCAACACTAGTACCCCTACTTATTTTAGCTAATGCCAACCCTAGCAGGCTATTGATCTTAGTTGATCTCAATACCGGTCAAACCACTGTTTCTAGCTAGTACTGAGATTGGCACCTATGCTGATGTTAACACCTAAAAAATCACTAGCCTTACTTCAGAAAATGCATAAGGAATATTGGATTCTGAAGCAGGTGAAGGTATACCTACCTTTCCTGAGGCAAGTGAACGTTCAGCTTCCTCCCTTGAAGCAGGTGAAGGTATACCTACCTTCCCTGATGCAGATGAAGGTGCACAACCTACCCTGAAGCAGGTACACCGGGCGTGAGTCTTTCTCAAAATGCTAGGTAGTGTTGGACGGAGGATCGAGCCTACACCGCTCCATATATAGTATAATAATATAATAAATAATATCCCCTTGCATCTATGTGATCTCAGTAACCATCTCATAATTTATACCAATACTTGTAAAAATCACTTACAGGCTTCCTATCTAAAACTTAGCCTGGAGATTAATGGTAGAAAATACCGACACGATGGAACAATAGACATAAATGCAGTATAATGTGATCCTTTACTGAGACGTTTCGCCCAGACAGTGGACTTTATCATGTCACAAACGGATCTATGTACAGGCGAAAGAGTACTCAGTAATGGATCGCATTATACCGCATTTGTGTCTGTTTACAACAACTTATCCCTGATGATGTACAATACTGACAGCTTGATGGACGGGACACACATATTTACAGGCGCCTGAGTTCCCGTCTCCTAATATCATGTTTATTTTTCCCCAGTAATCTACCTTGTCCAGGATCTTTCCTTAATTCACGGTATAACTTAACAAATCTTTGACGACACTTGTGTTGCTCAAACCTCTACAACACAAAGTAAATGCGATAGTAATTATGGATAACGTAGATTATAGGGTAAAAATAACATTATTATAAAACAGGGGAACTGAGGTGCCCCTTAAGAGCAGAGTGATGCACGTGTCTTATTCATCAGAACTTGTCTTACCCTGAAGCAGGTAGCTGTAGCGATGTCCCAGCTACGTAGCGTGCTGTCTGCGCTACCAGTGTAGAGGATCCTGGCGGTCAGGTCAGTGCTCATGCTGCTCACACACCCTGTGTGTCCCTCAAACTTCTGCTGGCGAAAGTATCTTCTCAGGAACATATACATACATAAAAATGTATACACACACGCACATACACACACACACACACACACACACACACACACACACACACATATATAGTGTGTGTGTGTGTGTGTGATGGTGTCATGAGCACTGATCAGTGACTGAGGAAAATCCACATAAGACAAAAACGAAGAATATAAGATGTCAGCAGATAGAGAGAAACGAGAGGGAGAGAGACGAGGTATTAAAGAGGTAAAGAGTCGACGTTTCATTTCTCCTCTTCTGCACTGAAAAAGAGTCTGCACTTAACACTGATGGACATGTCGATTTCATAGTGCAATAAGAGTAATGGGTCCAAGAAAACTGTTTTATGTTGTTCAGGTATAACTTAAAATATTTTAGAGATACCATGTAAATAGCCTATATATATATAATAATATAATATATATATATTATATTATATATATATATATATATATATATATATATATATATATTAATATATATATAATATATATATATATATATATATATATATATATAATATATATATAATGTGCCACGGTTCGCTGTCTCAAATGCTTTAATGTAGGCGCCATTTAGTTACTTTTAATCTCGAAATGATATATTAATGTTTTGCGTATCCAAACTAGATTATGCATCCTGAAGGTGGTGCCTTGATGCTGGTGAGGGGCTCTTGAACTAGACTTATCTTATCCCCCGGCCGGGGGTATGGTTTGTTAAGTAGATCTTAAGTGAGCGTATCCGTATCCCTTTTGACATTTGGGTTCTTATATACTGTATCAGGCTAGTTAGGGGGGTGTTCACCGAGTAAGATTTCCCGAAGCCTTCCTGGTAACTATGATCGATGTTGTTGTCATAAACGTAATTAACTACTTTGTAATATACTGCTTTCTTCAAGATTCTGGATATAACGCTGCTATACTAACAAGCCTAGAGTTATTGACATCAGATTTACTATTTGTCTTGAAAATAAAGATGATTCTGGCAGCTTTGAACTCATCCCGCAGGAACGGTACTGGAGGTGGTGGATACATTGAAAATGTGAGCTGTGGGCACTTTAAATAAGATACACCTCACCTCCAAGCTGCTACACCTATTATATATATTAAACGATATCTCAGTAACTTGAGTGTTTGTCTATCGAGGACAGGCGGGCTGGTACCACCAAGCTTATGTGAAAGCTATTGTGAGGAAGTTGAGGTGAGGCCATGAGGAAGATTAGGTGAGGCTGTGAGGAAGGAAGATTAGGTGAGGCTATGAGGAAGGAAGATTAGGTGAGGCTGTGAGGAAGATCATTATGGTAGATATGATGCTGACCTTAAGACAGGCACCGGTAGTGAAGAGCCATGATCGTGCAGTACAGTCCATACTGCCGGTGATGAGCACATCTCCTGCACCCATCACGTCTTCCACTGGTTCCCCCGGGATGATCACTTGGCAGTAGATACCTCCAGTGTGGCCCTGTGGGAGAGTGCCACCACCACCTCTCAGTTGCTGTTGTCAACACTTGGAGCGCCATGCTAACACACACATACACATATACACAAGAAAAGGTACGATAAAGCTCTTGGAGCAGGGAGAGAGTGGACCTAGTAGCGACCAGCGAAGAGAAGGGGATCAAGAGCTGTGAATCGGCCCCAGCAACCACAAATAAGTGGGTACAAATAGGTGAATACACACACACTAGATTACAGGAGAGAAGATTCTACAGTATATAGCGATTTAATAACGAATTTCAGTGGGATGTTGTAATTTAAATACAAAAACTATTATATACTGAAATGACTAAGAAAATGAAGCACAATCTCCAGCATGTGCTTTATCATCCAGGTGGAGTCTGTGTGGGTCAGTGGACAGCTAGCAACAACAATCTGGTTGACTAGGTAGCCAGCAAGGAACCCTGACTTCACTCTGGGCTGTGATTATAGACGAACCCTTGAAACCAGTCACAGACATGTTAGAAATATGCCGGGAAGGCACAGAAAGACACGTAATGATAACGAGAACTGGAAATGGGGAACCCTGTGGTAAAAAAAGAAATGCAAGGAGTACAAAAATGAAAATCAAAAGATGGTGAAGACGTACAGAACAAGGAGGAAGATAGAGACGAGGAAGGTAAATAGCGGATCTCAGTGACGTACTACAGACAATAGTGGATCTCAGTGACGTACTACAGATAATTAGTGGATCTCAGTGACGTACTACAGACAATAGTGGATCTCAGTGACGTACTACAGATAATTACTGGATCTCAGTGACGTACTACAGACAATAGTGGATTTCAGTGACGTACTACAGACAATAGTGGATCTCAGTGACGTACTACAGATAATAAGTGGATCTCAGTGACGTACTACAGACAATAGTGAATCTCAGTGACGTACTACAGACAATAGTGGATCTCAGTGACGTACTACAGATAATTAGTGGATCTCAGTGACGTACTACAGACAATAGTGGATCTCAGTGACGTACTACAGACAATAAGTGGATCTCAGTGACGTACTACAGATAATTAGTGGATCTCAGTGACGTACTACAGACAATAGTGGATCTCAGTGACGTACTACAGACAATAGTGGATCTCAGTGACGTACTACAGATAATTAGTGGATCTCAGTGACGTACTACAGACAATAGTGGATCTCAGTGACGTACTACAGACAATAAGTGGATCTCAGTGACGTACTACAGATAATTAGTGGATCTCAGTGACGTACTACAGACAATAGTGGATCTCAGTGACGTACTACAGATAATTAGTGGATCTCAGTGACGTACTACAGACAATAGTGGATCTCAGTGACGTACTACAGACAATAGTGGATCTCAGTGACGTACTACAGATAATTAGTGGATCTCAGTGACGTACTACAGATAATAAGTGGATCTCAGTGACGTACTACAGACAATAGTGAATCTCAGTGACGTACTACAGACAATAAGTGGATCTCAGTGACGTACTACAGACAACAGTGTAGTAAGGACACATTGCACAATATATTTATATTTTTCTAATGAAAGCCTCTTGTGTAACTTGTGTCATTTCGTTACCAAGGAAGACAACAATTTAGAAGCAAGTCACAACACTGAAGAATCAGTAAAGGAGCACTCAAGGACGACGACGGGAAGCTTAATGGAGAAGCGAACATAAGATTTATGGAGGTACTCATTGAGGATGCAGCAGCGGTACTAGGAAGTACGCAAGAGGACACTTAAAAAACCAAACTGTACAGCATCCACACTTCAGAGGAGGAAGTGAGAAAGCTTCTGAAAGAAGTGGACACAGCCCAAGTAATGACAACTAAAACCATATCCCAATTTTGTAATAAAAGACTGAATTGAAGAACTGAGTGAATCAAGAGCATAAGGGTCTATGAAAGATGAGGTAAATCATAGAATTAACGAGGGGAAAAAGTGAATGGTACACTTAGGAGTTGTGGAGACAAAGAACTTTGTCCTTGGAGGCAAAGAGGGGAATGTATGAGAGTATAGTTTTACCAACGCTCTTATATAGGTATGAAGCATGGGTGATGAATGTTGCAGCGAGGAAAAGGCTGGAGGCAGTGGAGATGTCATGTCTGAGGGCTATGTGTGGTGTGAATATAATGCAGAGAATTCGTAGTTTGGAAGTTAGGAGGAGGTGCGGGATTGCCAAAACTGTTGTCCAGAGGGCTGAGGAAGGGTTGTTGAGGTGGTTCGGACATGTAGAGAGAATGGAGCAAAACAGAATGACTTCAAGAGTGTATCAGTCTGTAGTGGAAGGAAGACGGGGTAGGGGTCGGCCTAGGAAAGGTTGGAGGGAGGGGGTAAAGGAGGTTTTGTGTGCGAGGGGCTTGGACTTCCAGCGGGCATGCGTGAGCGTGTTTGATAGGAGTGAATGGAGACAAATGGTTTTTAATACTTGACGTGCTGTTGGAGTGTGAGCAAAGTAACATTTATGAAGGGATTCAGGGAAACCGGCAGGCCGGACTTGAGTCCTGGAGATGGGAAGTACAGTGCCTGCACTCTGAAGGGGGGTGTTAATGTTGCAGTTTAAAAACTGGAGTGTAAAGCACCCTTCTGGCAAGACAGTGATGGAGTGAATGATGGTGAAAGTTTTTCTTTTTCGGGCCACCCTGTATATTATATATATATATATATATATATATATATATATATATATATATATATATATATATATATATATATATATATATATATATATATATATATATATATATATATATATATATATATATATATATATATATTTCAACACGATGGCCTTCTCCCACCAAGGCAGGGTGACCCAAAAAAAGAAAAAACACTTTCACCATCATTAACACAATATCACCGTCTTTGTAGAGGTGCCCAGATATAACAGTATAGATGTCACTCCAAACAGCCAATATCTCAGACCCTCCTTTAAGTGTAAGCATTGTATTTCCCTCTTCCAGGAATCAAGTCCAGCTAACCGGTTTCCTGAATCCTTTCACAAAATATTACCCTGCTCACACCCCAACAGCTCGTCAGATCCCAAAAACCATTCGTCTCCATTCACTTCTATCTAACAGGCTCACACATGCCTGCTGCATGTGCAGGCCCTCGCGCACAAAACCTCTTTCTCCCCCTCCCTCCATCCTTTCCTAGGGTGACCCCTCCTCCTCTCTACTACAGATTTTTTACACCCTCCAAGTCAACCTATTTTGCTCCAGCCTCTCTAAATAACCAGACCACCTCAAAAAAACCTCATCAACCCTCTGAACAATACTTTTGGTAACTCCACACCTCATCCTAATTTCCACACTACGAATTCTCAGCATAATATTTACAGTACTCACTGCCCTTAGACACGACATCTCCACTGCCTCCAGCCTCTTTCTCGCTGCAACATTCACAACCCAAGCTTCACACCCATGTAAGTGTTGGTACTACTATACTCTCGTACATTCCCTTCTTTTTCTCCATGGATAACGTTTTATGTCTCCACATATACCTCAACGCGCCACTCACCTTTTTTCCTTCATCAATTCTATGGTTAACCTTATCCTTCATAAACCCATCTGCTGACAAATCTACTCCCAAATATCTGAAAACATTCACTTCTTTCATACTCCCAAACTCCAGTGTGATATCCAGTTTTTCTTTACTTAACTCGTTTGATACCCTCATCACCTTACTCTTATCTATGTTCACTTTCAACTTTCTTTATACATCCTCTCAAACTCGTCCAAAGCCCTTGCACCTTCTCTTTAGAATCTTCCAAAAGCACATCATCATCAGCAAAATGTTAGTGACAACTCCCATTTTGTATTTGATTCCCCCTAATTTAATCCCACCCCCTCTCCCCAACACTTCTTTTACAACTCCATTTATAAATATGTTAGGCAACCATGGTGAAGTTACACATCCCTGTTTAAACCCTACTTTTACTATATATATATATATATATATATATATATATATATATATATATATATATATATATATATATATATATATATATATATATATATATATATATATATATATATATATATATGCTATAAGATCACAGTAAACAGGTGATTTCAGAATATGCAAAACAGCCACTGTGAAATAATTAAGAAATTCCAAGCGCTTTCGTGACTACTCACATTATCAAGGATCAATGAAAGTAGAGCATTAAAGGAAGGTATATAAAGGGTCTAGCCCACACCTCACTATCAGATCCCACAACAAAAGAACACCTGACACGTGACTCTTAAGAAAGGGAACACTGCAGCAGGCCCGCCGGCCCAACTAGACAGGTCCTTCACACAACCCACCAACAAACTATTCTACCCAAGAAATAAGAATTTTTAAAATTATTATTTGTCCAATGTATTATTAAATTCTTCCCAAATTCTATTAATTATAAATGGATCTAATTCATATAAACCAAAGGAAATATTCATATTATTGTCAAAACTGATTTTTATGAAACAAGATTCAATTATATTCCTGTCGACCATGGACTTGCTTGATACAACTTTCTCAACTTTTTGAAAATCAATTGGATGGTTAAAATCTCTCACATGAATAAATAGAGCATTGGAATCTTGTCCAGTTCTAATGCTATATTTATGTTGTTTTAATCTTAGTTCGAGATTTTTACCAGTTTGACCGTAATAAACTTTATCGCAAATTTTACAAGGAATCTTATAGACACATCCATCAGCATTTTGGGGGGAATTCTTTATCAAAAGTTTTTTTTACTGTATCAAGATTTTTGAATACAACTTCAATATTAAAAGTCTTAAGAAGAGAAGGCATATCAACCAAGTTTTCATGGTAAGGGAGAACCAACATATTTTTAGTTGAATAAGGCTGGGTATCCCCTTTTGGATTGTAAAAAGCATTTCTAGCAACTTTAAAAGATTTATCAATTACGTTTCTTGGGTATTTCAAATCATTACCTATTTCATAAATTTTGGATATTTCCTCATCTATGAACTCTGGACTACAAATACGTAAAGCTCTCTGTTTTCTCATCAATGTTTTTGAGAGCTTTACGAATTTGCAGTCCAGAGTTCATAGATGAGGAAATATCCAAAATTTATGAAATAGGTAATGATTTGAAATACCCAAGAAACGTAATTGATAAATCTTTTAAAGTTGCTAGAAATGCTTTTTACAATCCAAAAGGGGATACCCAGCCTTATTCAACTAAAAATATGTTGGTTCTCCCTTACCATGAAAACGATACTACAGATTAGGAGAGAAGGACAACTGAAGGGAGAGGGTGAAGGAGCACCTCGAACGTTTTGATGCAGACAGAGTTCTCGTCGTGGTCCTCGATGTCCTCGTCGTCAATGTACCAAGCCTTGGCAGTGTTGTCCTGTGACGTACTCATCACATACTCTCCCGTGCACAACACTCTGGTCACCCGCGACGTGTGACCTGGAGTACAACTCTACTTAGTCTTCCTCACAAAGTTGAACATTTTTCTGTTTTGGGTTATCTTAAACTTACTGTAGGTTAGTAGGATTTAGTTCTACGTTTGCAAGGATTTTATAAATTAACTGAACACTCAGCGCGGATTAAAAGGCTTGAATACCGTCTTGTTTGAGTTATTCTAGGTTAAATTACTTGATTTTGTTAAGAAATATGGGGATCTGTTCGGCTATTCTAGATTAAATTACTTATCAGCACCGTACCTCTTTAATAGCATTTGCTTTATAAATACAGCCAGGTATAGAAGTTTGAAAAACAAATTTAAATAAAATGTATAAATTTAGCTTGAATAAAGCTTAATTATTTTTTTATAGAATTAGAAGCATGAGAGGAATAAAGAAGATGCAGAGATGCGAAGGTGTGTGTGTGTACTCATCTAATTGTAGTTATAGGGATCGAGACTCAGCTCCTGGCCCCGCCTCTTCACTGAAAGCTACTAGGTCCTCTCTCTCCCTGCTCCATGAGCTTTATCATACCTCGTCTTAAAGCTATGTATGGTTCCTGCCTCCACTACATCGCTCGCCAGACTGTTCCACTTCCTGACCACTCTATGACTGAAGAACTGCTTCCTAACATCCCTGTGACTCATCTGAGTCTTCAACTTCCAAGAGTGACCCCTTGTTTCTGATCCCCTCTCTGGAACATCTTGTCTCTGTCCACATTGTCTATTCCACGCAGTATTTTGTATATCGTTATCAAGTCTCCCCTATCCCTCTTGTCCTTCAGTGTCATCAGACCGATTTCCCTCAACCTTTCTTCATAGGACATTCCCCTTTGTGTGTGTGTGTGTGTACTCGCCTAATTGTACTCACATTCACTGATCGCTACTAGGTCCTCTCCCTCTCTGCTTCCTGAGCTTTGTCATACCACTTCTTAAAACTATGTATGGTTCATGCCTCCACTACTTCACTTGCTAGGCTATTCCACTTCCTGACGACTCTATGATTGAAGAAATACTTCCTAACGTCCCTGTGACTCGTGTGAGTCTTCGGCTTCCAGTTGTGACCCCTTGTTTCTGTGTCCCCTCTCTGGAACATCCTATCTCTGTCCACCTTCTTTATTCCCCGCAGTATCTTGTATGTCGTTATCATGTCTCCCCTGACCCTTCTGTCCTCCAGTGTTGTCAGTCCGATTTCCCTTAACCTTTTCTCGTACGACATTTCCCTGAGCTCTGGGACTAGCCTTGTTGCAAACCTTTGTACTTTCTCTAACTTCTTGACGTGCTTGACCAGGTGTGGGTTCCAGACTGGTGCTGCACACTCCAGTATGGGCCTAACATACACAGTGTACAGTGTCTTGAACGATTCCTTATTAAGGTATCGGAACGCTATTCTCAGGTTTGCCAGGCGCCCGTATGCTGCAGCAGTTATTTGGTTGATGTGTGCCTCCGGTGACGTGCTCGGTGTTATGGTCACCCCATGGTCTTTCTCCCTGAATGAGGTCTGTAGTCTTTGTCCACCTAGCCTATACTCTGTCTGCGGTCTTCTTTCCCCCCTCCCCAATCTTCATGACTTTGCATTTGGCTGGATTGAATTCGAGAAGCCAGTTTCTGGACCACATGTCCAGCCTGTCCAGGTCTCTTTGCAGTCCTGCCTCATCCTCACCCGATTTAATTCTTCTCATCAACTTCACATCATCTGCGAATAGGGACACTTCAGAGACTATTCCTTCCATCATGTCGTTCGCATATATCAAAAATAGCACTGGTCCTAAAAACTGACCCTGTGGGACCCCGCTCGTCACAGGCGCCCTCTGTGATACCTCTTCGCGTACCATGACTCGTTGCTGCCTCCCTGTCAGGTTTTCCCCTGATACATTGCAGTGCCTCCCTGTTATATGCGCCTGATCCTCCAGCTTCTGCCACTAATCTCTTGTGGGGAACTGTGTCAAAGGCCTTCCTGCAGTCTAGGAAAACGCAATCAACCCACCCCTCTCTCTCGTGTCTTACTTCTGTTACCTTGTCATAAAACTCCAGGAGGTTTGTGACACAGGATTTGCCTTCCATGAACCCATGCTGGTTTTCATTTATAATCTTGTTCCGTTCCAGGTGTTCCACCACTCTCCTCCTGATAATCTTCTCCATGACTTTGCACACAATACATGTCAGAGACATAGGTCTGTAGTTTAGTGCCTCATTTCTGCCTCCTTTCTTAAATATGGGGACAACATTCGCTGTCTTCCATTTCTCAGGTAGTTGCCCAGTTTCAAGGGATGTGTTGAAGATTGTGGTTAGGGGAACACACAGCATCTCTGCTCATTCTCTTAGAACCCATGGGGAGATGTTGTCCGGTCCCATTGCCTTTGAGGCATCAAGGTCACTTAGCAGCTTCTGCACCTCCTCCTCGGTTGTATGTATGTCATCCAACACTTGTTGGTATATTCCCTCTTGATGTTCCCTTCTGTGCTGTCTTCCCACAGCCCTTCCTGTCTCTACTGTAAAAACTTCCTTAAATCTCCTGTTTAGCTCCTCACATACCTCCTGATCATTTCTTGCGAGTTCTCCACCTTCTGTCCTCAGTCTGATCACCTGGTCTTTGACTGTTGTCTTCCTCCTGATGTGGCTATACAACAGTTTCGGATCAGTCTTGATTTTCGATGCTGTCATTTTCATACTGTCGCTGGGCCTCCCTCCTTACCTGTGCATACTCGTTCCTGGCTCTGCGACTGATCTCCCTATTTTCGTGTGTTCTCTGCCTTCTGTACTTTTTCCATTCTTTATTTGCACTTTGTTTTTGCCTCCTTACACCGTCGGGTAAACCAGGAGCTCGTTCTGGTCTTCCCATTGTCTCTGTTGCCCTTGGGAATAAACCTTTCCACTGCCTCCTTGCATTTTGTTGTTGCATATTCCATCATTTCGCTTACTGGCTTTCCTGCCAATTCTCTGTCCCACTGGACCTCCCGCAGGAAGTTCCTCAACCCTATGTAGTCCCCTCTTTTATAATCTGGCTTTTCCCATTCAACTCCTGTTACTCTCTTCACTTGCAACTCTACTATGTATTCAAAGCACAGAACCATGTGGTCGCTAGCTCCTAGGGGACTCTCATATGTGATGTCCTCAATGTCTGAACTGCCCATGGTGAACACAAGGTCCAATCTTGCTGGTTCATCCTCCCCTCTCACTCTGGTAGTGTCCTTAACATGTTGGTGCATGAGGTTTTCCAGCACCACGTCCAATATCTTGGCTCTCCATGTTTCGGGACCCCCATGTGGCTCCAGGTTTTCCCAGTCAATCTCCCTTTTGGTTGAAATCCCCCATAACCAGCAACTTTGCTCTGCTGGAGTGAGCTCTTTTTGCCACCTCAGCAAGTGTGTCAACCCTTGCTCTGTTGCTCTCTTCATATTCCTCTCTTGGCCTCCTGCAGTTCTGTGGTGGATTATACATCACTGCAATGACCACCTTGTGCTCCCAGACTGAAGTGTACCTACTATGTGTCTCTTTCTCCCGTCTCGTCTATGCCTCCCATTTTCTCGAATTTCCATCTGTTTTTTACGAGCAGAGCAACGCCTCCTCCCCCTCTGCCCCTTCTATCTTTCCTCATGATCTGGTATCCTGGTGGGAAGATTGCATCTGTTATTGTCTCTGTGAGTTTTGTTTCTGTAACTGCTATGATGTCTGGGGACTTCTCATTGATTCTTTCTTGCCATTCCTCATGTTTATTCGTTAATCCATCTGCATTTGTGTACCAAACCTTCAACTTCTGTTCTAATACTGTAACTGTGGTGCGGGGGGTGGGAACAGAGGGATTGGTGTATGATGGTTGGTTTGGATTATTCAGTTGCCTTGGGGGTGTCGTGGCTGGAGTCCTTCTGTAGGTGTTTCTGGGGGGTGTGCTTGTCCTTCCACTTGTTCCTGGGTTATTCTGCTCTCCTTTTTCATTTCCTCCCATTTCTCCTTTCGTTTTTGCACTCTTTCAGCATCATCCTTTCCTCTTGTGTTCTGTCTCGATCGAGGTACACACTCATGAACTCCTGTTTGCCTCTCAGCCGTGCTTTCTCCTGCAGGATCATGGTTCAGGTTGATTCTGCCTTGAAAATTACTTTGAGAGGCCGATTCCTTTTCTTTGTGAACCACCTGATTCTCCAAAAATTTGCTACCTGGGTCATGTCCCCCTCGCCTATCACCTTCATGATACTTTCAATAGCTTTTTTCTCCTCCTGCTTCCTTTCATCATAAGTTTCCCCTTTAGCTTCGTCTAGCCCATAGACAAAAACTGATCTCTTCCTTTCCACCTCCCACTGTGACTCCCATTGCATCCTCTGAGGTGTTTTAGTTCCTTCCCGTGGAGTGTTCCTTCCTTCAGTCCCTTCCCTAGCTATGGCCCCTATGCTCATTGGTTTGTCCTTCCTGCTCACCTGTTCCTGGCCCCCACAGGTGTCTGGCAAGATCCCTGCACATGTCCTAGTTCCTTCAACTTCTTCCCTCTCATTCTAGTGTGCTCACTGTCTTTGTTTTGGCCCCATGTGGGTTTGACAGGACCTCTGCATACAGTTTAGCTTCCATGCTCCCTTCAGACCCGTTGTCTGTGTCTGATGTAGCCATTGCTGATGCTACATCTGTAATATCTTTGTCTCTATGCTGTTTCAGATGTCTCAGCTCCTCTTCTAATCTCTGTATCTTGTTTTCTGCTGGTATGGTATGTTGCTTCCACCTTCTGCATTCTGCTGCTAACCTCTCCTCCATCTTCCTTGCAAGCTCATCTAGCCTCTTTCCCCAGTCTTCCTCCCTTTTTTTGAGCTCTGCCTCCCAGTTCTCCCTCCCAGATTCATCCTCTGGGCCCCTTGTTCTCATCCTAGTTCTAGGTTCCCCCATTGCTCCACAGAAGGAAGGGGGAGAGGTGGTTAGGGGGGGGGGAATAGATGGTTAGTGGGAGTGGGGATGGATGGTTATGGGGGAGGGGGAGGATGGTTATTGGAGGGGGAGAGGTAGTTGGGGGAGGGGGTTAGATGGTTTGGGGGAGGGGTTAGATGGTTTGTGTGTGTGTGTGTGTGTGTGTGTGTGTGTGTGTGTGTGTGTGTGTGTGTGTGTGTGTGTGTGTGTGTGGGTGTGTGTAGGAATGCTAGAAAACCAACAAATTAAAGA